GCCACGGGCCCCCGACCCCACACTCGGGGATTTCTAGGCGCCGCCTTCCCCAGGCTCCCGGACTCTCCCCGGCTCTGGCCGGACTGGGTCTCCCCGACCCCTGCCCACCCAGCCCAGGCCGGACCCCCCGCAGCTCGTCCACCTCCCAGGCTGGGCCGACCCCCCAGCACTTAGTTGGTCTTTAGGACACGCCCCTGTGCTGGACTGGTCTCCCGGGCGCGTGTAGGAAGCCCGACAGTGGCTCCAGTCACTTTCCCTGGGTGACCACCCTGTGTACGTGGGTGGTGCCTGTTCCACAGCAACACAGGACCCACACCAGGCCACTCCTGGGGAAGCCACCAGCAGCCACTGGACAGTAGGCGAGCAAGCGGCCCCCTAGGCCCTGTCCACCTGGGCCGTTCCAGTACAGTGTGGATGCGTCCTGAGCGTCTTCCCATCTATGCGGCCCGGCGACACCAACATGCAAGGCCTGCGGGAGCTGGGAGGAGAGCTCGGCGGGATGCCCCTCCTAAGCGGGTCTCTGAGTGACCTCCCCCGGGAAGCAGGCGAGGTTGCTCTCCGCCAGGCTTCTGAAGACAGCAGTGCAAGCGAGGCAGCTGGGAGGCAGAGCCCGGCCGATGTGGAGGGGGTGAGGACGGGCTCCCAGCTTTCTCCTGCCCCGGAAGCCAGGATCTCTGGGCTCAGTGGGAGCTTTTCCACCTGCACCACGCCGGGTCTGGACCCAGTGGAGCACAGCAGTGCCTGGGGGGAGTTTGAAGGCTTTCGGGAATCTTCAGCCAAGTCTGAACAATTCTCCCGGTCCTTTGAACTTCCGGAGAGGGCCACAGCAGCTCAGTCACCAAGACCGGCTTCCCACAAGCAGCATGGTTCTCAGCCACCGCCCCAGGGTGGACCTTGGGTGACAGGAACCGCGGCCATCTCACCTTCTGAGGTATTTCTAAAGTACTCAGGAAGTGTTTTATGGGCCGAAAGGCCGGCAGACCTCAGGCCGTGGTGGGCCGGCCAGGGAGGGGTCTGCTCCTGTGTGGCCTTCAACCCAGGCCACATGGCTGGCTGTTCATCCTCCCGAGTCAGGGAAGGCCTGAGGCTGCAGAAACGATCGCCCTTGGGGGAGACTCAGAAGCTGGGCGCCCCCTGTGCCCACCCCTCCTCCATCTGGCCACATGAGCCTCCCGCTTCCTCTGCCACCTTCCCCTCCACCCTGCAGCCCACCCACTCCCCATCCACCAGCTTTGCTTTCCTGGCCCTAGTCGAGGGCACGTGGGGAATCGGCAGTCTCCTTCTGTAGAAAGCCTCACGGAGTCACGTGAGCCTGTGCGTAATGACCGGGCACTGGAGCTGGCCCCGAGAGCCCATGCTCGGCCCCCTCCGCCCTGCCCAGCCTGACCCCTGGCGTTTGCCTGGGTTGCGACAGCCTCAGGTCCTCTTTCTCTTCCTTTCTTCCATCACCCCTTTCTCTGCCCTCTCGTCTTAAATGGTTAACCCCGAACACCATAAAAGCAAAGGAGTAGAAGGGAGAAGAGGGGAGAAGAGGCTGGGCTGGCTCTAGAGACGGACTGTTTGTCCTGCAAGCCAGTGTTTCCCTGGCCCCCTGACCAGGCCTGCCCTTCACGCGGTCAGCCCTGCTGTCACGCTCGTGTCGGAAACAGGACTTGTCTTCCAACATGGCTGATGTATCGGGGAACAGTTTGAGCGTAATGTGAACTCTGCAAGAACCAGCAGGTGCATGCAGAAAGCTGCACCCCTCCGTATGCAGCTCATGTGTCCCAGTCCCCTCCCAGCCGTCTTGGGTTTCCCACACCTGTCCTCACCTGGGGCGAGCGTCTTGTCCGCCTCACACACCCCCCTCCAGCATCTCACATGCACTCACAACCTGCAGGCCTCAGGTCTTTCTCCAAGAGGCGCCCGGTTGACCATATGGATGGATCTCTCTACCAGTTAACACATGGAAATGGCACTAACATTTTTACTGGTGCCTCTTTCTGTGTGTCCCCAACCAGGCTGATACGTGTTGGGCCTAGTCCTGCCTTCCCCATACGCCTGTGGCTTTCGCCGCCTGATTTTGGACAGCACGGTGACTTTTAGGGACGAACGTGTTATGTAACACTGCAATCATTTGTAGGCTTCATTTGTACCAAAATTATGTATTGGAATAAGGTGACACAGCATGTATGTCCCTGACTTTGGTATGTTTATCTTTTCTTTTTCAGCCCATGGTCAGCTACGAGAAAATTTTTAGGTTTGCTTTTCAAGAAGTACCAGTCGAGCAGGCAGCTGAAGGTGTTCCCACCTTAGACCATTTCCTAGAGGCCGGCAGTGAGGGGGAGCCGGGCCTGGGGTCTGTACATAAACGGTGGTAAGGGGCTTAAGTCGGGACTGGCATCTTACGGCAACTCCACATTTATACTTTTGGTTGACAAAGTGGACGTTTTTGTTTTGACCCTTAAAGAGAGCGTTGTCTCTCCTGAAGTCCCCGCCTGCCACCTTCGGGTGGTAGGGCCCCCTGGAAGGCCAGGTGGCACAGGTTGATGCTCTGGCCATGGCCCCTCCTCTTGCAACCAGTTGCAGCTGCCACCGCCCCCTCCAGTCCCCGAGTCCCCCATGAGCTCTCCTGGAGCAAAGTGAAACCGGGAGATGCCAGCTCTCAGGTCTCAGTGTGAGTGCTGGGGGTGCAGGAGACCAGTGGGTCTGGGCGGTGGGCACAGGGCCTCCTGGGGACTTGGCTGAGTGACCCTGGGACAGAGAAAACACACCGTGCCCTGGAGGGACATTCAGGGCCAGCCCGCCCGTGTGCTGTTGGAGCCGGCTGCCTGAGGGAAATCATAAAGGAGTTGTTTGTGGGTGGTCATCCTCTAGGACACCGTCACTGAGCCCCAAGAGGAAAACGCCCCATGCCAGTGGGTTACATGGCGGCACTTAAGAGGCTGGAGCTCAAGGCCGGCGGGGGGAGGTGAAGGTCAGGTGAGCGGGCTCAGGGCGCTCTGCGCTCGGCTGGGCAGGCCGACTCTGCCCGAGCACTCGCCAGACAGGCCCTCCCGCGCTCTGGCCCTGGCCGCAGTCAGGGCTGCTGCTGGGGACCGAGCCAGTGGCTGCCCCAGCGCACCCCGGCAGAGGCCTGGGGACAGGGGCCTGGAGCCCTGGAGGCCACGACCAGCATCGCTCAGATGGCTGGTGTGCCCTCTGGAGGGGGCGCTTCCCCAAGGCGTGGCCTAGGCCAGCAGGCGGGTCAGTGTGACCTGGGACACCCAGAGGCGTGGGCGGTCCTGGGTGTCTGGACTGGGCAGGGCTGGGCAGCGCCGTGCGACAGGTGAACATTACTTTGGGGTGAGTGGGAAGCGAGCTGGGCACTTGGAGCTCGTCCCCTCCTGCTCTTCTGGGGTGGGCCTGGCGACAGTGGGGGGCGCGGCGCAGACGCTCGCTCCCCGCTTCACGGAGCCGAGCATTCGTTCTGCTCTTGGTCTGAGCAACCGTGTGGCACCGGAGACGCCAGGGAACAAGACCAGCGAAATGCCTGGCCGGGTGGGGCTTCTGCCCCTTGCAGGGGACACTCCGTTATGAAAATAAGTCACTTGGCACCAGGGACGACCGTGGAGAGGACCGGGGGCGGGAAGAGGAGCTGGGAGTTCGCAGGGTGGCTGTCCATAGAATAACGGACAGAGAACCGAGGCTCCTGAGGGCAACGCCAAGTCAGAATCCTGACAGGTGGGGCCCACCGCGCCCCGTCCTGAAGCCTCTCGAGGCGGCCTTTAACCCGCGCGTCCTTCCAGTCCCGAATCCAGAAGGCTCTGGGCAGCTCTGCACCACGCAGACAGCACGTCCACATCCCGCTGCCCGTGGCACGCCTCCCGCTGCCGGCAAAACTTCTTGCTCGTTCTCGGAGTCGACTCTGCTCAGGTGAGTGACTCAGGTGGAGGTGGGCGGACTGCTCATGACCGTGCCAGCCCCCTGTGGCCACGGACACAGCGTCACCTCGGGACACAGCGGGCTGGCCTGTGGGGTCCAGGTGGTGAAGCGCTGGCTGTCGGGGTTGGGACGAGGCAGGCGCATGGGGAGGATGGGGGTGCCTGGGGCCCAGGCGCCAGTGCCCGCCCCGTGTGGCTGGCAGGTGTCTTGGCGGGCCAGCCCCGGGACCAGGTCAGAAGGAGGTGCCCAGTGGGGGCACTGCCACTCAGCGCGAGGGTGAGGAGCCGGGAGGGCGAAGTCAGCCGGGGCAGCTGCGTCTCATGGGGACACCAGCTGACAGCAGTCTGGCTCATGAGTTATCGGAGACCATGCAGGCTGGTGAGAGCTGGTGCTCAGCAATGAGGTTGGCAAGGACCTTCTTCCATGTTCGGTATCATGGAGATTTCCAAACATGGGAGACACAGAGGGGCTGGCAGGCCCAGTGAAGATGGGCACGGCGTGGTTGCCGAGTGGGCCGGGACAGAGGCGACGGGCCACCTGGCTGTGTCCTGGTGCCAGGCCAACAGCTGGGAGGGCGGGGTGGGGGCAGCCTAAACAGGAGGCTCAGCGGAGACAGCTCCAGGCCTGCAGGTAGTGAGAAGGTGCAGGGGCCCCCTAGCCCCGTGACGGGTGACGGGAGGGCAGTGAGCGGCAGGGCTGGGGGGCAGGGACACGCAGTCTGCGGGGACAGGTGCTGGAGCTGTGACGAAAGAAGGGGGGCAGGGGCAGCCATCTCCCCGGCTCCCCGCTGGCCAACAGCCCTTCGTGTCCTCAGGACGTTTCCGGGAGCGAGGGTCACGCGGTGGAAGGTGCCGAGCCCCGCGAGCCTGGAGGGGCCGGGGCCCACGGCGTGCATCCGCCGGGCTGCGGAGCGGTGACGCAGGCCGAGGTGAGTGGGGGTGGCCCGGGTTTCCACGCTCAAGCCACGTTCTCGTTTTCTCTGCCTGAACGATCCCGTCCACGCTCCAGAGCAGGCGGCCTCTGTGGCACAGGCGTGTTGCCTGCAAAGCCCCGTGGGGCAGGGCCCGTGAGCAGCTGGGGGCCTGGGGCAGCACGGGCCTTGGGGACTGGCAGGGCGGGCGGCTGCGTGGCTGGTCGGCGGCTTTCCTCCGTCATATGAAGTTCCTACTGCAGCTGCGGTGTCCCCTGTCAGGGGCTCAGGCAGGACTAGGCAAGGACAAGCCTCTGCTGGGACGGCTCTCCTGCCCAGGGGCAGGTACTAGGAGAGCCGCAGGTCCCAGGAGCGCGTGTTCCCCAGAGCTCGGCTGGGGGTCACACCGCACACGCTGGGGGAGGCGGGAGTGGCGCACGGTGGCGGGTCCACCGGAGGCTCTGCTTTGATGGTCAGTGCAGAGACTGCCCCATGTGGGGCGGGCACGGGGCTGCTGTGTGGCCCGCTGGGAGGAGACGAGGACCTGATCTGGAGCTGGGCCGGCGGCAGGGGGTGGAGACCGGGGCTCAGCAGGGGCAGTTTGGTGCCCAGCACTGTGCATCCACCTGCTTTGGGGAAATAGCACAGGGTGGGCAGTAGAAACTTCTAGAGCTGCAGAACAGAAGCCATTTCAGAGCAGCAAGACAAATGTCCACAGCGGCCGTTACGTGCTCATCTGTGGTCGGTCACAGGCAAGTGTAGGGAGGGCGGTGGTGGCCGAACCACAGTCTGAGGCTCACGTGCCCACGCCTGAGACGCGGGGCCCACTGCTGGCCTTGGCCTTGGGCCGGGCGGCACAATCATGCGGGTACACAGCGCGGCCCGCCCCGCCGTGTGCCCCTGGTCGTGCGGGGTGGCAGCTGTGTCAGACCGCACGGGACGAGAAACACCCCGGAGCCTGGGTGCTGAGGCCTACGGCCGGCGGGCACCTCTCCCACCGTGAGTGCTGGAGCCTGACCGTGTCCCGTCTCGCCAGCTCTCAGGGACGCCAGGCAGCAGGCCGGGGGGCCTCATCACACGCAGCCATGGGGACGGGCGGTGCGGCCCGGCGCCCAGCAAGGCCTTCATTCCACGGAGCCTGCACAGGGCGCTGTTTCACAGCGACGTTTGCTGAGATGGACAGCTTGGCATCTGAAAGACTTCACGTCTGCTGACCAGCTGGCTTGGTGGCGGGGACCACAGCTGTTTTGTGAGGGGTCTGCCAAATTCCAGGTTGTTCCCGGGACCCTCTGTGGGCCCCCCGTGTTGTGCGCACTGGACCAGCTCAGACGGAGGGCCTTCGGCAGAGCCAGTTCCACAGAGTGGCGCCCCGGCCTGCCCTCTGAGGGGCCCCAGGCCTGGCTGCCACACTGCCCTGCCCAGGGGGCACCTCTGGGTCCCCACCAGCAGCCTCTAGCACCCTCAGGGTGAGCTTTCCCTGGTCGTCGCTGAGGCAGCCCCCTTGTGATGGCAGAGTCCACAATCAGCACTGACTTTTGTAAAATTTTGTTAAGTAAATGGCCTGGATAAGCCTGTGTTCTTGCTGGTTCATCTGCTCTGTGGAGCCTGGTGCCAGAGGGGCTGTCACTGCAGCCAGCCCTTGCTAGCAGCCCCTTCCCATGCCCCAGGTGAGGCCTGAGGCTGGCGGAGCACCCAGCACATACAGTGCGGTCCCAGCCGTCACTGTCCACCAAGGCCACACTTGAGGCCACATCACAGCCTGGGCGGCCTCGGAAGCCAGCTCTGCTGACCCTGGTGTCAGACCCAAATGGTGGCACAGTGGGACATGCAGCAACTGGCAGAGGTCACCTACCACAGGGAGGAGGATGCTAGCTGTCACTTGGCACCCAGCCGGGGCTGCCAGCCCCAGGCTGTGCGTGTAAGGGGTAACGCAGGTGTTCTGAGCCGCACGTTTCGGAATGTGTGTTGACTTCATCTTCGGCTGGAAGGAGGTGGGATTGGGGACTGCATTTCTACCATGCCGCTTCCGTCACCATACTGCGGACTCCTGGGGCCCGGCGCCAGAGGCCCGATGGGATGCGCCATTTCCCAGCCTTTGGTTGAAGTTAGACTCGACAACCCAAAATCCACATTCTGCGTCCTGCCTCCCCCCACCCAGGTCCAAACTCAGATGGCGGCACTGACCGCCCCACAGCACCTCCCTGTTCCCCTTGCTGGCAGCCACACCTCCCACACCCACTGAGCCCAGTCTAGATCTGAGCTCCTCCCTGCTGCTTTTCAATGGAGGGACCCAGCCCTGAGCCCCCAGCCCCCAGCGGAAGGCATGGAAGGTGCGGCGCCTCCCCCTCCCTGGCCCAGACTTCAGGTCTGGCTCCGACTGTCCTGCGGAGGGCTTTGTACCCAGACACAACCTGCTCTCGTGTGAGTGCAGACCAGGCGCGTCTGATTCAGACATACAAGCTGTGAGAGGCGGTCACTCTCACCCCGGCCAGAACAAGCCTAACTGGCTACAAAATCATGGTTTTTAGTCATGGGAGAGCTGTGGGGACAAAGAAACCTGAGAAATTAAATGAAGCCATGGAAAGGCTGTGGTCCTGTCGTCCCCCGGTGGGCTGGCAGGCAGAGGGCCGGGCGTGGTGGTGCGTGAGGACACTTTCAGCCGACACGAGGATCCAAGGACCGTCCCCCAGCTCATGTCCACCGAGTGCTCGGAGCAGAAGGCCGAGAGCTGCGGTGAGGGGGGTGGCTCGACGCACCCCAGGCACACGGCTCGGGCAGGCAGCGCCATGGGCAGCGGGGTCAGCCGCAGGCGCCCGCTCACCCACATTCTGGAAATGCTGAACAGAAGTCTGTCTGCTTTGGGGCCGAGACACCCGCCCAGGCGCCCCAAGGCTGCCGCCGTCCCCGGACTGGCCCCCGCCTCCTGCTGCCGCCATCCAAGCTTCCCAGCTGTGAGCAACCGGTCTGCATCCTGTGGTGCTGGCGCCGCCCTGTGGGCGCCCAGGGCAGCCGGCTGTGGAGGACACACCTAAGGCATTTTCCAAAAAAGAATACAAGGCCACAGCACGAAATCAGACACAAAGAGAAAACTGACATAGAATGAGAAAAGAAACAAAATTAAAAAAGGCAATACCACCAATAAATTTCACAAACTCCAGGAAAATAACAATACTTTAATTCCTGACACACCTCGATACTTTTGCCTGCATCTCTTGTGATAACGTGATCTTACTCTCCAGAAAGATAATTCAATGTATGTTTATTGCTGATGGTTCAGAAGTTTCTCCCAACTTAGCAACTCGCCACTGGCCAAGCTGGATGAACGCTGTCACCACTGTCAGGGCGGGAATGCCCTGCAATGTCCTTTCCCGAGCCAACTGTCGGCTCGATGCACCTAAACCCCGCTTCCCCTCCCTCCACACACTCCAGTAAGGCAGCGAGGGGCCCGGCCTGGCCTCTGTGCCAGGAGCCAGGATGGTGGGTGGCAGGCGTACCCCAAAGTCCTTCCTGGCCAAGGAGAACCGGCAGCAGCTCGGCCATGCTTGGAAGCAAGCGGAAACACGCGGTGGTGACTGCGGCACTCACACCCGACTGCCCTTCCCCAGGACCCAGGACCATGCTGAGCTCGACCCAGCCAGGCCAGGGGACAGGAGGGTGGTGGCCGGGCAGTGGCCTTGGCCAACCATGGCCAACACACCTTTTGCCATTTACAAAATCCCATGACCACGTGCACACAGGGACCTGGGGAGCCTGGGTCCTATAGTGCCAGTCAAACCCATTGTCAGCCACTGGCCACCGGCCTGTCCCTTCCTGGGGGACCATCAGCCAGCCAGGGAACCCGCTGACACAGCTGAGGCCCGAGGCACACCCCGCCCTGCCCAACCCGCAGGCCCGCCCACCTCCCTGCCACTCTGGACGTTTCTATGTCACAGGCGAAGACGCTGAAACCAAACACACCTTTAAAAAGACAGAGTAGGACGCTTTTATACGAAACAAGATGCCGCTTCAGTTTACTGCTCCTCAGACACGTACACTTTATTCCCCACAAGAAGGAAGTTTCAAAGCTGAAGGAAGCGCCCCATGGGTACCGAGGGCTGCACCCCGCCCTGACCTCACCGGCGTGTCCGAGCCTGCGGGAGGGGAGCGTGCTTCGGAGAACGTGGCCCCACTGCCCACTTAGCACACCGAGTGACACGGTTCCACCTGCAGGAGGCGCCTGAACCGACGGGAAAGGCCGCCCTCTGGGATGGGACACGGCAGGCAGCGAACACGGTTCCATCCTGTTGAGTAACTTTTAATAAAGTGAGGTGTGCGTCCCAGTAAGGATGGCCATGTGCGCGAGCGACAACAGCCTTTCCGGCTGAGGGCCGGGGAAGGCAGAAACAGCAGAATCAGGGAACGCACAGCCCGCTCGTAAACCAGGGAGAAATCTAGAAGCTGTGGGCAATCTCGGCCCGTGCGAGTCGCCGGGCGCGGGTGGCACCTGCCAGCCCACCACCATCGCCCTCACGATCAAGGGGCCATAATGACGTGTCCCAATTTAGTTCTAGACTTACATTTAACCTTAAAACTGGGTCCCAGCACCAGTTTCTGGGGACAGGCATGGGACATTCCCACGTCGTGGCACGCGGACGAGCCACCTGGTAGCCGGCAGCCGGCAGCCAGGCGCACGGTGACACCACCGCCGCCACCACCGCCGTTTACACATAAATAGGCATAAATTAAACCCTCCCAAATCTACCGTGATTCTCGGACTCGGCTCCCACAGCGGATCTGGTCAGGACACGGAACAGGCAGTGACCTCTCACGGTGCTCGGAGCGACGGACGTGTCCCCGTACGGTACTGTACACGGCTGACTCGGGGTGCCGCGAGGCTCATGAAAAACAATTCCTTACTTAAACCTTAAAAATTGAACACACCAACTGCAAGTGTTCAGGTTATAAAAATTTCTAATCAGCAGCAGAGATATTTATAGAAAAAATATACTTTTAAGAAAATAGCTGAAAAAATCTAAAGAGATAAAAGTATAAAAAAGTTTAAAAAATATATCTTAAGCCAAAATATCGCCCAAAACATATAAAACTTAATTCTAAAAAATTCACCTATGTAAAGTTAAATGAGGCTGGATGCAGCTGGTGGCTGGCCCAGGATGACCAGCCTGCAGGGAACCGCCCTGCCCCCCCAGGGGGGGCGGGGACGACAGCGGGCAGGCCGGACACCTCCCGGGACATTCCTGCAGTCACAAACAAAGCAGAAGCCGCTGTGGTCAGATGTGCTCTGGGGCGTCCGGGCCTGACAAACGATCTGAGACTTGTCCCGCAGGCATCGCCGGCTCAGGTCTCCACCAGAATCTCCACCACGTGGTCCAGCTCGCCCAGGTCCGACTTGCAGCTGGGGCTGGGGGATGGGGCAGCCGCAGAGGCCAAGGCCTCAAGCCCATCGCCATGGCTCGACGTACCAGCCACCATGCCGGTCAGCACCGCGTCCAGGTCGTAGTAGGAGCTGTCCACGTCCGCAAACAGCCCTTCCACGGAGCCTGGGGTTTTACTCTCCAGTGTCTCAAAGATGTGCCCCAGCGACTTCGGAAAGCCCCCTCTGCTGTCTCGAGGGCCGTCCACTTCCCAGATGCAGCTCTGCACGCCCCCCGGGGCTGGCGCCACGCCCAGTGCGGAGGCCAGGCCTGGCGTGTGGCCATCGGCCAAGCTGGGAGCGGGGTGCGCCCCCTCCTGCTCCCAGGCCGCCCGACACAGGATCTCTGTGGAGACAAGGCGGTCCTGCGGCCCCCGCCCGGTGCTCGGGGGCGCGGGCAGCCGCCAGGTCCCATCCTGGGTCATCTCCTCCTGGATCTGCCGCACTGTGTTGGCTATGAGGACCGAGCGGCAGAGGTTGGGCTCGACCAGCATGTGGCATAGCTGCAGCTTGACCAGAGACATGTCCAGGAGCGACTGCCGCTGCAGGCTGTAGGCCGGCGCGGCCCGCAGGCCGGCCAGCACGCCCTCCACGTCCTCCTCCCGCTCAGCGCCCTTCCTCTTCAGCCCCCGGGCGAACATCGTGTCCTGCGGAGACCCAGGGAGACGCCGATTAGCACAAGCCAGAGCCCCTGGCAGCCACTGCCCCACATCCAGTGTCCCCCGTCACATGGGGAAGAGGGCTGGCTACACACAGGGCCCTGGGACAGGTGGGCAGGCGGGGGTGACCCTGGTGTCTGATTCAGCACAGCCTCAGGGTAGCATGGAGAGGGGTGCAGACCACACACCTCCGACCACGGCTCCAGTCCCACCAGGAAGGAAAATGGGCTGAAAGCAGGAGGGGTGCACCTCTGAGGAGCGAGGCTGGAGAGCCAGCCAGCCACGGGGAGGGCAGCTGTGGCAGGCTGACCTGAGTGCCCGGTTCCCAGGCCCCTCACCTGCAGGCCTCGGCGTGGCAGCCGGTCCCCCCGCCCCGCCCCCCGCCATCACTGACAGAGTCCCTTGCTCTGCACACAGCCCCGTGAGGGGGGCCGAGCCAGCGGGGGAGGACACGCTGGACGCGGGTTCCCCCCGAGGTCCTGTGTTCCAGGTGCCCAGTGCCCTGAACGATGACGTCCACCTCCGCCACGGTGAGCAGGGCACAAGTGCGCATAGCCACATCCTCCCAGTGTCCCCGATGGACCAGGCACTGGGTCGTGGACGCAGGTGCCCAGACGGGAGAGGGAGGGGCGCCTCACCTGCAAGCCCTGGCAGTGCCGTTCGGGCCTCCACCGGGAGCCTCCACGGACGAGCTAAGCCGCCCTGCACCAAGCTTCCCTCTCGAATTTGTAAAGCAGCTAAACATTTTCATTCCAAATAAAGCGAGCTATTCAGAGAGAGGGTTAGGACCTTCCTAATGAGCAAACTGGATTTCTTTTTTTAAAAATACCAGTCCTGCGGCTCCGGGCGCCAGCTGCCAGCGCGATGCGGGCTCCCTGAGGGCAGCGTGGGGGCGGGGGCGGGGGCAGCTGCCGAGGCCCGGAGGGTCCTGCAGCGAAGGGAGAACAGGCTACCCACCCAGTCCCATCCTGAGTCGCTTTTCAACACAGCAGATCTCACTTTCTGTATATTTATATTTAACGACGGTAAAAAATAAAGTTGAATCTCGGGCACTGATCCCAAAAAATGAAAACCAACGTTCAGGCAAAAACATGTACAAAACGTTCATAACAGTGGCACTCAAGCCCCAAACAGAAACAGGCCCCTTGCTCGTGTCGCTAAGGCATGGGGCACCCCCCAGCGACCTCAGCGGTAACGCTGCGGTGCCATCATGGACCCCAAGAGAACTGCACTGCATGGGAAAGCCGCTCTCAAAGGCTGCGCAGACCCCCACCGCCGTGACCCGCGTGCGGCGCAGACAGGTGGGCGAGGCCAGCGAGTGGCTCTGCGTGGGCTGTGGCGGTGGGTCCAGGCCCAGGCCTGTGCTGAGGGCACAGAACCAGCTTATGCGCACGCGCCGTCTGAACCAGCCGTGGCCACCCAGGCAAAGGTGACCTCCAAACGTTTCTTTTCAACTTCCTGTGAATCTATAATTTCAAAACATAAAGTTTAAAGAAGGGAGGGACCATGCTCATTCTCTACAGGGCTCATTTCCCCAGAATGGCAAGCAGGACTTAGCCAACACCACCTGGACGCGGCCACCGCTTGTGTCCTGACCGTGCACACACCCACTTGCAGAGTTTTATATGAAGGAATAAAAGATTCCAGCACAGGACACAGAAATGTTCCAATTACTTCTGGTAATAAAGGGTTCAAGCTTTTTGTCTTGGCTGCAAATTCAACTTTTACGCAGCCCCCCATCACTTATTTAAAACTCGCTAGCTTAGAATTGCTAAGTAAATCAAGAATTAAAATGAGATTATGTCAAAATATTAAAAGGTACCGTATGTCGAGGAAAAGATTAAGTTTCTAGGGTTCCTCTGTGGTGAGTCACTTCACCTCTTTGGTTTTTACTAATATTTTCAACCAAAATAAAATTCTAAGTCTGCTTGACAACGAATTTAATTCAAGGTCCAAACCAAACTCCTCGGAACAGCGCAATTAGGCCTTTGCCCTCGAGAGCAGCGGGGTTCTGCGGATGGGCAGGTGCCACCGCAGGTGGGCCAGCCAGAAACCCCGCTCACACTCCAGCAGCACGAGAGCTGCCCTAAGGGCCGAGCACCCACCTGGGGGTCCGTAGGCAACCTGCAGGCCTCAGACCCCAACCCTGAGGGGCAGCCCTGGCAGTCAACAACCTCCCTGCGACAGCTGCCCCAAACACGGGCCTGATCAATAACTGATGGCGTCCCTAACTTTGGCCCCACTAGAAAAAGCCCAATGTGCTCCCCAAGCAGTCACGTGGTCGCCTCACTTCTGGCTGGCCGCCCACATTCCTCATCCCCCTTTAAGGGCCCAGCACCCCCAGCACATAGAATATATTTAACTACTTACGTTTGTGTGCATTACACGTGTACGATGCGTAACGGGTGTGGCGTGGTGTGTGTAACACATAAGGACAAATGGAGCTCGCCTACTCTCCTGCGCCCCGTCTCTGCCCAGCGCGGGGGGGCTCCCAGGGGCAACAGCCCGGAATGAGCAGCCATGGTGGGCTGTGGCGCCTCCCCGCGGCCGGGACTCGTCCGAGAATACCGGGCGAGCCCGTGGCCCTAACCTGGGAGGTCATCAGCGGGCTCCCTGAGCTCTTCTCTGGGCACCCCCTCACCTGCGGGGTGGAGAGCCCATCGCAGGCTCTGCCTTCTCGCCCGGCACGTGGTCGGTGTCCTGCAGTAAGTTCACCGTCACTTCCCACAGCGGCGCATTCGCTCGTCCACGGCACCCGCGCCGCTCACCACCACCCCGGTGGGTGCTGGGGCCGGGAGTTCTAGCGGCTGCGCCGATGCGCCTGGCACTGGGCTTCTCGGGGCGCCCGCCAGGCAGAGGCGGGGGCAGCTCTGGCGCGCGGCGAACTCTGCCGCTCACTCGGCACACAGGCTGCTACGCACCCCGCCCGCTCCCCGCTTTCCCTTCCCACGCGCCCACCCACCGGGGCCACCTGTTTCCCCACCCGGAAACAGAGGGTGAACGCTAGTGTATCTGACGGTGGAACCCAGCTCAGCCACCCCTGCCGCCAGCACTAGACACGGCGACGCGACGAACCACGCGACATGCAGAACAGAAGAGCCGGCGCGCTCAGGCGCCGCAGGAGTTGCCGCCGGGGGCTTCTGGGGCCGGCGGAGCTACGCGCAGCGCCAGCAGCGGCGTGGCCTGGAGGGAACCGGCCAGGACGACGGCCGCGCGGCCAGAGCCCAGGGACCCGCACACGATGTGTTCTGCTCGCTGTCCTCAATGAAGCCTCAGTGACAAACAAAACGGACAACCAAGACAATGGGGGCGGCTACTGTCCACTCACACCTCACCCACCCCGCCAGGACACAGGCGCTCTAATCACGCCCTTCGAAGGTCCCAAACCCTCAGCAAGTGTTATTTTGTCGCACTCCACAGGAGAAAGTACCCGTGTGCGGCTGTCCGGGACCCGCGTGTTGCGGTGGATGGCTCGCGGAGCCCAGGGCCACCCTCCTGACACCTGTGCTTGGGACTATGGCTCTGAAGGGACCCGTGCGGTGCTGGGGCAGAGGTGAGGATGCAGACCCCCAGGTGAGCCCTCTCCGGGAAGCCCAGGTGACTGGGACCCGGGCTCACAGCCCCTGCTCCGGGGCTGTCCTAGCTGCACAGCCTGATAAAAAGCATTAGGTATCGCCACCCACCTCCACGGGCTCCACAAACAGCTGAAGGTCTCGCCGCGGGGCTAAGTTACAGGCTCAGATGCCACCACCAGGGTTGACTGTTCCACTCCAAACCCTCTGCCAACCGCGGCACTGCCCTAGGCCTCCTCCAGACCAAGCGCTGACCAGACAGAGAAATGGAGGAGGGACAGAGGGACCGAGGAGTTCTCCATGGTGGGTGGAGCCATGAGGGCGCTGTGCCCGCCCACTCAGAGCACACCCAAGGCAGAGGGGACCCGGAGGCGACCTGGCTGGCCGCACCAACCCTCACACGTGACCAACCATCCTGGGAGGCTGGTGAGAAATGTAGAGTCCCCAGATTCTGAGCAGTAGGGCTAGGACAGGCTCAGCTCTGACCTGACCCATGACCTTCAGCCACTGCCAGGCACTTCCGTGAGCCCAAGTTTTTAAGGCAAATCGACACAAAGACTCAGTTTGCCACACCGCCAGACCTGCTGAGAAATACTCCACTGGAGAGAGACGGAGCCACGGCCAAGAATGGCCGGTCGGGGTCGCAGTGTGGCCCCTGCCCTGCTGCTGCCCTCAGACAATTTGGCACAGCAAGGGTGGGACACTTGCCCATCCTCTTTCCAAGATGAAACCTGCAAAGGTCGTAAGGGACTTTTAATCTGAATTTCGACTCAGAATTATAAAACACGGCAAAACTTGAAAACAGCAGTCGTCCATAGGACGTTTATAAGACATTAAACTTAATTTTTTTCTTGGCTCATTTTAAAAGCAGTGAACTTGGTCCTGTGTCCTGGGCGTGCGGCAGTGGCCACCAGCGGAGGAAGCACAGCGGGTACCCTGTACCTGGACCGGAGCGTCACCCCTCCCCCCACGCTGTTGTTACCTGGGGGACTCTCTTCCTGGTGATCCTATTTTGGGGGCAATAAGCTTTTGGAAATGGAGAGCTAAGCTTGCCTCTGACTCGTGGGGGCGAGTTTCTGCTACTGTTCCTAGTCACAGCACTGCGCCTCGCTGCTGACAGTCCACTGGCCCGGGTCAGGAGTTGGCCTCACCCCACTTCCCGCCCCCTTGGCCGGGCTGGCCAGCACTGGGCGGGGCAGCGTAAGCCAGACTGCACAGGAAGCAGGCAGAGCCAGCTTCAGGCCACTGAGGCCCGCATTACTCGTCTGGGGCATTACTCGTCCCCAGACGCTCCCTGACCAGCGAAGAAAGAGGGTCTCTGCAGTCTGTGGAGGGAAACCATTGCAAAACCACCTGAACATTCCTTGGCAAAGCAGTTTAAACCCAAGAAAAAAGGAAAAGAACTCAAACTGAACACTCAAGCAGGCAGTGGGTACCGGGGCGGCCTCCTGCCCTACAGGGCTCCAGAGAAGGGTACCCTGGCTGGGCCATTCTAGAAGGCGTCACGTTACCACGGTTTTACTAAAAGCGCATAAGATGAAACTCGAGGCTTTCGTTGCTACTTCTGTGCCACCCACTGTGCAGATGGCACGTCTGGAAGGACACCTAGAAACACAGCGGGAGGGCTGACGGGAGGGAGGCTGGATGATGCACGGGTGCTCGGAATGGTGGGTGGGCGAGCGATGGGAGGAGGGGCAAGCACTGGTACTGTGGTCAGAGCTGTAAATTCATGTCGGCCAACAAGAGGCTCTGCCAGGGTCCCCACCCCACAGGTCAAGGAGGGTCATCGAGACGCCCAAGGAGGAGCCTGCAGTGACCTTTTCCAAGTCTCAAGGAAGGCCACAGGGTAGGGGCTTCCTTACGGAGACCTTGACCTCACGAGCAGCCCAGTAAACCCATTTTAAGTGTTTCTCCACTAAAGAAAGCCCTCAGTGTGGTTAAAGCCACGAAGACGTTGTTACTTTTTAGTTCAAGGGACGCAGGACAGCGAAAGTTTCGGTCGTGGCGGCACGAGGGGATCCCAGGGGGTTGACGACCCGGCCGGCAGGCGGGGGTCGGGTGGG